TTAATAAACTTGAAATGAAAAACAAATTCTACGTGTAATACAGTGTGCTGTGTTTTAAATATTTCCTTGTTTTATGCATCCTTGTTTGTTAGCAACTCAGAAGATACTTTCTGTGCCACGTGTATTTTCCACCTGGTGAATTTACATTGGTGCATACAATGACTTCTTGTGAAGAAGCTTTTTTCATGTGTGAAAAAAGCTGCGCATATACTACGTGTATTCTTAAACCCAGGATAATTTTGCAAGGGGTTATCATTCCAGTGTTGGATGTTTGTAATTCAGTAGGTATAAATCCTAGGATTTTATTTTTTGTGAAGGAGAATGACTGACTTAATTCACTTCGTGATTAACAAAAATTAATTCTTCTCTGTACTTACGTCACTGTCAACAGTAGAATTTATTTGTGTGGTAAGGCAGTCATCTGTGTTTGGGAATTCTTTCTTTGTCCTCTATTTGACTGTAGAAGAATAGGTTTTTTTGAAGTGCTCATCACTTCACTTGTTTTCTTTAACCTTGCTCTTCTTGTTCCATGCTTTCATCTTTGTCTACTGTAGAAAATTCAGCTTGGGTGCTTCAATCTGCCATGCCTTGCTTCCTAGTTAATGAATGCACAAGAAAGTGAGAATTACCAGAATTCATAGTGGGTGTCTGCACATCTCGGAGATGTTGTTCCTTATTCTGACCAGCAACCACCCAGCAAATCCTTTATATTTTTGCTGCTTTTTAACAGTTTGAAAAAGCAGTTAAGAGTTAAGACTGGCACTTAAATTATTATTATTTTAAGCAAAAAATTCCTTCCCTCCTTGTGTCCTCACTTTCTAAAGACCCATCCTCAAACATGCATTCCTCAGTTTAATTCCCTCCCTTTTATGCTTTCCTCTCATGCTTTTAGGATTCTACCTTGTTTCTTTCTCAATACCACACCTTCATGAAAGAGAAGGAAGTCAGTTTGGTTGCTACAATATTGCTTACATATGTGCCATTAGCCCAGAGCTGGTATGTGATGACTGTGGGTTGAGAGGTCAAATGTGGTACAAACCCCAACGTTTTTGTCAGTCCTTCAATCTGCTTGCACCAAAGGCTGGCAAATCTTAAGGTTTCTAAGAAACCTTAAGGGCATTAATGTAAAGCCATTTTGAAGTGTAACTATTTCAGTAGTAGATTTTTAAGGCAGATCCTCTGATTGCATGATATAACTTGTTTTTGTAATGTTTGTCAATATTTTTGCCATATAATAACCCACTTTATTATGAGTATGTGTCCACAGCAGATGAGCAGAATTGCTGAAACTTGGTTTGACGTTGTGCTCCAGACAGTTATTACTCTAAAGGAAATAACAAGTTGTTATGTCTTAAGAACAAAAGAAAATACAGGATTGTGAACAAAGTGAGGAACTCTTACTGGACAAAAACTAGAGGTGTGTAGTATCACTTCTTAGTAGAACGGTTTGTGGAGTTACTTTGGTTTTTTTATTATTATTATTATTTTTTTTTTTAGTGTTTTAGGATGTATTTTGCTTTGTCATTTAATGCAGAATTTGTAAAAATGTTTTCCAAGCCCAAACAGGGTGGATAAAAAAACTGTATTTAAAAGGAAGTGAATTAAAGACCTGTAGTGGGCCTGTTCTGTGTATTGCCTGTCAGAACTCAGCACAACTTTGGAGCAGTTTCTTCTCAATTTTGGATAGTAAGAAAAAGTGAAGAAATTAGGCTTAAGAAATGTATGTGGCAGCTCACACAAAGTTGTTTTCTCTGCAGTATGCATGTGTGGTGCACTTCGGGGTCTCTTTGAGTATAAACTACAGTGTTCTTTAATCTTCTAGGGAGCTGCTACAAAACTTCTCATTGCTCAAGAGGTATGTTTGCACTACTAAGAATGTTCCTGCCAATGCCACTGAAGGCCATATAAGCCTGCAAACAAAAAAACCTCAGCTATATCGAGTCCTGCTCTAGTAAAGGGTAAAAATACCACCAGACAGCAGTAAGGTAAACCATAGGGAATGATTTTAAAATTTTTAAGTGGTTACTAAGTCTTGAACATAATTACTTAAAATGTCAAAGATTCAGTTGTAATTTGCAGCTCTAAGTAATTTCAAAAGATGCACCTATGTGCTCTTAATATGGAGCTTTCCCTGCTATAGGTCAAAAATTTGTACAGATTAAATGCTCTCTAGTTCTTTCATAGCAGGTTAAAATTCATCTGAATAAGTGGCACAAGGATTGTTTTCCTGTTCTTTAAGGTAACGTGTAAGAAGTTGATGACTTATAATTGCACATGGTGGGATGCTCTTAATCTCTTGCTGAGTGTGTGCCTTGTCCGTATTGTATTTGATGCTCAATTGTTTTAATGCTCAGCGCTTTGTTTGCTTTAAGTTCAAAAATTGCAGTCTTGTGAGAAGGGGAATGTGCCACATTTGTGCTTTTCTTTGTCTAGAAATTAAGAATGCTGATAAGACATTCAGTGGGACTGAAGCATTCTTTTGGACAGCAGGATGTCCCCAAGCACCACTGAGCTCTTGTTGCCTGGTGAGCTTGTGGCTACTGCTCCTGCTGTCCTGGAACCCTTCTTCCTTCTATAACAGTTTTTTTGTTCTCACCTCTCACTGTATCTCCATTGCACTGTGGTCAGAGTGTAACTCAGTGCCATCTTGGCAGCAATGTCGTAAGTTGTTGGCTTTTTGGCTTAGAGAACTGAAGTGGAAGCATGTTTGAAAGCAGTACTTACATATACTGGAAAACAGTGCTTGTGGCCATTCCTTCTGAATGATGGCAGGGGAGAAAGTTCCATCTAGAAGGCAGCTTGTGCTGTCAGCACCCAAGAACTGACCTTACTCCAGAAAAATTGTCAAAAATGCATCTCTCTGCTTTTGGGGTTACAATAGCCTCAAGATAAACATACTATGTTTTACCATATACTTCCCTTTTTAAATGATTTATGTCTTCCCTGATACTTGAAGAACTTTGATAAAAGACAGTAGTATTTTTCAGTAGTGGTTGTGAGTTAATTTTTGGTCAACTTACCTGGAGGATACAAGTGACAAAATTAATCTTTACGTTTCTAGAGTCAACGTGACATAAATGTTAAGAACTCTTACATGCTGCTTTCCTCCTTTTGCTTTTGTAATTTTTCTTAAGCAACTTAACCAGATTGTTCAAGAAAATGCATATCATAAAGTTTATGAACTCTGCATTTTGCAGAATTTGAATTTGATATAATGTTGCAGTTTTCTAGCAAAAAAATTAAGCTTTCCAGCTTGCTGTGTGTGTACTTCTAGTGTAGTACTTATTACTTATCCTTGAACAGTTCACATCACTGAAACATTACTCCAACAGTTCCTAAATAAAAACATTAGGTAATATTCACTTGGAGAGTGGGGGGAAAAGCTATGGCATCAAAGTAAGTTTTCTTAATATGATATTCCATGAAAGGGACAGCAATAATAAAGTGATTAGTTTAGATAGTTAAACTATACAAAAGTAAAAGAGGTATGTCCTTCCTTAATCACAAAGTCACTGTTTATATGAAATGAATATGGTAATTAACATGAACAAGTTCAGAGGACAGATCTTACATTGCTTAATACACATCTCTAACATATTTGTTCAAAAATTATATTCATGAAAGCTCTGACCATAACATCAAATGAACTATTTAACTACACCAGCACCCTGACTTTGAAGTGAAATTTTGCAACATCAAAAGCACTTCCTGTTTTTGGCAGGCAGTCATTTCTACATATTCTGTACATATCCCTGTAAGTGTACATTAAAAAAACTAGTCACTGTGTTGCTTTAGCCATAACTGCTAATTAAAGGAATAATTGCAAGGATTGGAAATAATTTAGGCCTATTTATGATATGTTGTAAGAGGAAACAGCTGATAACTGGTTTCCTTCACCAGCTAAAAGAACTGTGGTTCATGATGTAAGTAGTGATGTGCATGTAATATTTAGTGAAATACTTCAAAATTTGTCTCTTCAATATTTTGTAACCTGTACTTCTCAACTGGGATGATGACCCAGTTCTCAGCTGGGAGAACACAAGTTCTTGAAAGGAAATGTATATCTTGTGTATTAAATTAATTTTCAGTAATAAATGCTTCTTTTTGGTGTATTTGTTAGCATAGTCGATCTGTCTGCAAAGTGTGCTTGCAGTTTTAATTTTTTGTATGTAATTAAGGTAATTGCTCATTTCTGGATCACATGGTGCAAATGGTGCATTTGAATGTGCTTGTGATTCAAATCGTCAGCCTTCTTAATTGTTTGTATGGATTTAAAGGATGTGCTGATGTGATGTCAGGACATTACCTCTTCAGGTAAACGTAAATTTATATGCTTCTATAAAAATCTGGCTATTCATATCTTCAATCTCATGCTGAACTGGATGATAACGTTTGCTAATAGATGGAATTGCAGCTTTCTACTCCAGACAAATGACAGGCTATACATCTAATTCAACACACAAAAATGCAGCTGTGTAACTAAACTGATCTAGTATTTTATCCCTATAGCTTTTTTGCAAGTTTCAATCTTTGATCTTGTACTTACATGCAAGAACAAAACAAACCTTTTATTTATGGAGAACAGTTTTCACCAGTTACAGAAGATGTTCCTATTTGATGACATGAATTTAAATACAACAGTAGGGTAGCTGCCAGCTTAGAACTGAATGCAAAGCTAAGTTTTGATCAAAAGCTCACCTACGCCAGTATTCCTTTCTGGCACCCTGGCTGTGCCAGAGCAATGTTTAGGAGATAGCAGAGAAGCACACCATACTCTAACTGTGTATATTTCCTGATTAATTTAGAAACCTGAGTGCTAGACACACAACTATCTTGCTGCAGACATTTCTTTCCCATAAAGAATTAGAGACTGAGCCTATGCTGCATCTTTCTCAATCCAGTCTTTCTACTGTGTTCTTCACAATAAAATTAAGTAGAAAATTGTCCAAAAAAACCCACCCCCCCAAAAAACACACACACACAAAACACAACAAAACCCCTCAGCACTGATATTACTGTTACAGACAGCTATTTTTGAACAGCTTACACAGTTTTATTACTCAAGTTTTTTTTAAAGCCACAACACTAGGTTTTACATAAGCTTAGAAGTCCAGTAATATTCAAAGAGTACAGCACAGATGTCAGGTTTAAATACACGTTTAGGTTTTTACCTCTTGACTTTCTCAACTGCTGTGTTTCATAATAAAAGTACAGTAATAAGTGTTAAAATTGCTTATTGAAACCTATGGCTGCAGATAAGGTAATTGTTTCTTGAGCTGAAGCTGAATATAGGCAGGTTCTGGCATGTTGCATGTATTGTAATGTCTTCTAATCAGCTTCAGCTGTTAGGCACTGGTAGGTTATGCAGAGTGGCTATAGCTTCTTATTCATTTGTAGGTGCTTCTATGCTTGTCAGATGTATCTCTGAAGAAGAAAGAAAAAAGTTTAAGTCCTGCTGTGTAATTTGCAATTACTGTACAATTGAATATATATGAATCGATGGATTGTAATTGAAACAATAGTAATTGCCCTACAGCAGTAATGTAATACTAAGCTTTACCAAAGACAGTCCAAATTTCCCTTGTCTGCCATGCCCCTGTTCCAGTTGCTGGACGTGTAGTTTCCAGGTTTGGTAGCCTCAAACCTTTGAACCTGTCTGTGGTCTGCGCAGTGACTATTACTTGTTTCTTACAATAAGCATTGCAGCTTTCTAGCTTTCTTTTTTAAACAGTATAGACTACTGTAAGTCCAGTCAGGTGCTACTTATTTGGAAGGGAGTATGTAGTAAAATTACTATTGTATGAGCAAAAATCTAAAAATCTGTTGAATATTATTGGGCCTGCAGTTCTGACATACCCTTCAGTTCCTAATAGAATTGTCAATTTCTCTGGATAATGTATTGGAGATGAGAAACCCAGAAGGGAAAAAAATAATTTAAAAAAAATATGATGATGGTTTATATAATATAATATCAAGTAGCTACAATCAGCTATGTTTTAAAGCTGTTTTAGATCTTCTGAAAGATTGGTTTAATAGATTAAAGAGCAGGTTTGAATCATTTACTAGACCATAACAGATGCTTAAACTACACTGGTGGCAGTGCAAGAGCGTAAGTGGAATGATTTGAGAGTCCAAATTTAGAAACATAGCACAACATTAAATAGAAGGAATTAAAGAAAGGCATCTTATACAGTCTTATCGTAACTTTAGCTTTCACTTTAACTCCCTCTGAAGTCTTCTTTTTTTTTTTTTTAGCTATTTAGAAATAAAAGGAAGATTCTCTATCAGAGAAAAAGATGCACTGCCAGAACAAGAATGGAGATTCAGCAGAGACAAGAATGCATTACCAGACAAAGGAGGAAAATTACCTGTCTAGAAATGGGAGAGTGTTATAAATACGAAAAAGGTATAAGTAAATAACAAATCTAAAAGAACTTAGCCATTAAAACAACAAATTCATTGACCTAAAACCACCGTTAAGTTTTGAAAAAAATTTCAGAAGACTTATATATAGCCAGTCTATAGTGGCATCTGAAAGCATCCATCCTTAATTGCCCTGTGGTGCCAACTCTTCAGTAAAAGTTTGCTTCCACTTAGGTGTTATCTTCATCCTTCCTCTGAGTTGAGCAGTAGCAGCCTGTAATGTTTGAACTAGTAAACTCTAACCCAAATCACCACTTGATAGTAAAGAACTGCACAGTGATTAACTTAAATCTACCTAGAATGAGGTATTAAAAAAGCTCCTCTATTCCATTTTGTGTCAAAATTCAATCTGTTAAGACTATTGCTATAGCCACACAGGCATCAGACTTGTGGTATTGTCATGAAACATCACATTTGACCCTGGAGGTAAGCATTTAAAGTGCCAATCTATTTCCACAAAATTGGATGACGCGTTTGGAAAAAACACAGTTTGATTTGTCTGTTTCAGTCCCTCTAGGATCGCCCTGCATTTCTTAGGTCCTGGCCTTCTCATAAGACCAATACTTGTGAAGTTACATGCCTGTGTCCTGACTTCTAAAGCAAGGCAGCGCACCAGCTGAAAGGGGGCTCTGTTGAGCAAAATCAGTAGTTCATGTTTAGTAGTCAAGTTATTTCTCAAAGCATGTTCTGATTTGCTAACTATAAATTGCAACTTTAGCTAATAAGCATACGCAGTGATAATGCACTTGGCATTAGACTAGAGATGGTGGTCAGCTAGACCAACCTCCTGCTTTAAATGTGATGATTTCAAAGCCTTCTCAGCTGATAGCTGACCACCATTCTAGTCAAAATTATCCAATTTTAACCTCTTTCAGCATGAACACAGTATGTCTTTACAATCAACCTGGTCTCCCACATAATAATCTTTACATCAATCTGACAGTACCAAGAGCTTGGCTCTGCTTTAGCTGTACTACACTTTCAACAGCTGCTGGCTGCTCCTAGCTCTCTCCTTAGCTTCTTCCTTGCCAGACGGTGAGCTCAACTTTCTCACTGTTTCAGTTTATTTATCATCTCAGGCTGTTCAATAGCTTTCATCTGCTTTTAATTGCACAGTGAATTGTTCTTTTAATTTCTTCCCAGTCTTTTCTTCTTTCTTTGTGTTCTTCAACATATCAAACATACAAATTACTTTAGTCTTCTGTATTATTATTCTTGCAAGATTTCCATTCTTGCCTTTCAGGTAGGACAACTGTAAAGAACAATTAAATGTTATGATAATGTTTTGTCACTAAAAATCCTTGAACCTCAACTATTTACTTCTTCATGTTGCTAAAACAACAACTTTGCTCTTTTATAGGGATCACTAACTAGAGTTAATCATTTAAAACAAGCACACAAAGCATACACATCTTTGGAAGTCAATGCAATATCACTGATTAATGCTTTTTTAATGCTGAAATAAGCAACTGAATCCACATGTAGCCAGTGTGTTTAAAAACTACCCTAGATGCTTATTTCACTCTAGATAAAGTGAAAGGATGAATTGTTTTCTGGTAGTTGAATTTGGTATTTCTGCAGACACTCCAAGAAAAAGGGGGTAGAAGCCCCATGGAAACACAGTGGATTTCAAATGCACACAATCTACAGAACAGGGCTTTTGATTTTTTAAAGTTAAGTAGGAAATGAGGCTGCAATCCACCCTGCTTCTTGTTGCTGTGCAAGTAGTCTAAAATCCATTTAACTCACCAGTTGCACATGGTAGTGAGCATGTGTAAATGTGCACTTGGTTATGCATTTGAAGCATTATCAAGCTCTGTAGACTTCAGCACAACTCTTTCTGTAGTCAGTGCTTCTTCTCAAGGTTTCAGCTTCTGCCATCAAAAGGCTTTATTAATAGTTTCCATTCTTTGCTGAAAAAAGCTTGAAGTAATAAAAAGAGCACTAGCTCAGAGAGAGGGGAAATAAATTTTTCATTAGTGAACTAAAAAAAAAAGCATAAAAGGATTTAGAGACTAATTCAGAAGCTAATTGCCATGTCTCTGTCATGCCTTTTTCCCCAAAAAGAAAAAGTTTATTTCCAAACAAGCCAGTTATTCCAAGATAATTGGAAAGAACTCTGTATGACTTAGCTGGCAGTTCAGCAAGAATACATTTTTCTGTAGATGAGAAGCGAGTTTGAGATAGATCTCTTGGTTGTTCTGGTTGTTCCTATTTACTGTGCTTTTCACATTCCAGAGTAATGATAAACTGGAGCCTTTTGGATGAAAACTTAAGAAGGAAGATATGCTCCAAACAGTGATGAGTACTGAGCCATGACCCCAGACTACTGCTACTTTGGGCAAATGCCCCCCCAAAATACATGCATTGGAATGTTATGTTTTCAGCAGCAGCTTCTTCATTCCACAACCAGCCCCTTTTGGGCTGCACTGACTGAAGTGGATACAAAGAATCAGCTGTACTTTGCCATGTCCTGCTGTCCAGAAACAACTCAGCAGCCCACCCGACGACTGTGCTCTGAGTCCTGGCTGTATTCTTGGACAGGGATTTGAGGGGCACGTAAGTTGCAACATTCCTGCCCAATTCCAAGAATTTGCTCAGTGTTTGATCAAGACAGCAGCTCTTGACATACATTTGTCAAGGAAGAATGTAAATAGTGCTACACAAGCCTTTTTTTTTTTTTAATGCACTGAATAAATAAACACTCATTTACTTTTACAGTTAGCAAAAACTAATTTTCTAATCTTCAGCTGATATTTTATAAATTCTTGATGGATACCCTCCATGTTCTTTTGTAATTTTCTGTTGCATAGTTTAGCCACACTGAGGTAGCTGAGTTCCAGCAGTATTCCATACTAATTTTGATTAAAAAAAAAAAAGGAATAAAACCTACTTAGGAGGCCTAAATCTGAGCCTTGTTACCACCTTGGATGCTTGGAGGGGAGAATAAAAGTTACATGCATTTGCAACACATTAAGTTACTCACTGTCTTTATCTCTGAAATTTCTGCTCTTAATGAAAAGTGGCTTCTCTCTGAGCATCGTAATCCAAGTCCGCTTGTTTTTCCTGCTGTTTTTTTGCCTGTTTCTCTGCCTGAGAAACAAAGAATAACAAAGCTTAGTATTTACTTTACAACATAATTAGCTTAAAACCTTTTGCACCTATGTTCAGAATTCTTATTCCATTCAGTCTCACAAGTTATGAAAAAGTGTAATAGTGAATTTTTAGAAAAACCAACTTGACTCGCACAACACTCTTTGCCTGAGTGGCTCCCACACTGGGACACTGACATCACAAGAAATTGAATAATAAGGTCATTAGCTCAAGGGAAATTCAGTTGCAGAAAGGGAATCTCCATTCCTAAGTGGTGTCTCCTGAGGCCATGTTTGCAGCACTGATCTTTTTGCTACCAATGGTCCTTCCTAGTAATCCTCTCTGACCAATACAGGCTGAGAAAGCCCAGAAGAAATTTCTGTTCTACTCCTCTGAGATGTGGCTGGTTCCCAGACCCCAACATCTGCAGTGCACACAGATCACAAACAAAACACATCACACATGGCATGCCTCCTGTCCCTGCCCTGCAGACAGTATTTAGTGGTGTTGGTATAGATGCATGCTTCTTGCTGGAAGGGTACCGCGCTTCTATTTACCATTTGCTGGATTCGAAACTTCTGTAATTCTACGTTTGCATCATGCTGTTTGTCTTTCTTAGCTTTTTCCATTTCCAGGTAGATACGATCATCTGTCATCCACTGACTGCGGTCCTTCTCACCCTCTGCTTTTTCCTCTCTCTCCTTCTGCAATTTCATCTTTGCCTGCATTTTATAAAATAGAGGAGGTTAACCAAATAGTCACCTTGCTAGTTTGAGGAGCCATGTCTTGCAGTCAGCCACTCCAGGCCAGATCCAAAAGCAATAATGATGCAGCCCCACACCAGCACTTTGGTGTGCTGGATCATGGCAGCTGCACTCTGGCCAGGCCCAGAGTTTCTGACAGCACCAACAGATGATGCCCAACTCCAGGTGGGAGAGGGGACCCAGAAAGATGGTACCAGTCCCATGAGCTGTGATCTGGGCCAGGTTCTTCAGCTGCAGTAAGCATGGCTGAGACTGGAAAGTGTTTGCACACATTACTAACAATTACAGAGCTTTCAAACTCAAAGGGATGAATCTGCATGCCACTTGAAGCTTGCTTAAGGTGTTAGATCTATAACTGTAGATTGTGAATATGATGAAAACTACTGAGAATGCGTGTGTACGTTTCACTAACAGCACATTAAAAAACATGTTTCTAGAAGGTATTTTTAAGTACACACCAGAAAAAGGGACAAGAACAGATTAGGTTTCTTACATCAGTGGCTCTGTGTTCTGCAATAGATTCAATGGCAGCCTTTTTTTTAGCATCCTTCTCTTTGGTTTTCACTTGGTACTCATTTTCTACCTCTGCAGCTGCTCGATCAAGACGATCATCTTCCATCCTCAATGCCTTGTTCATCTGTGCAGTTAGTTTTTTACAAGCTCTGTCCTGATGCTCCTCAATTAGCCTGAAGCACAAAAAAAGCTACCATATCATACCAGAATATCTGATATATGCTTATGCCTTCCAAGGCATTTCTCAGAATAAAATCAGCAGTCCTGCTTCTTGTATCACGTAGGTCTTTTCCAACCTTGGTGATTCTATGATTCCATCCTTCTCTTTTGCCACAGAGACCCACCCATTCAGCTCCTTGAGTTTCTTTTGCTAACATGGCAAATAAGCGCTCCCTATATATATATTTATTGTCATGCCTGCTTTTTGTTGCAATAATGAGATGGATCATACAGTTCACCTAGCACACTGCCAAAACAGGCCAATGCTGAGAGAACTGCCTGAAAGTAGGACGCAAAGGGAACTTGTTGCATTGGCTCAGAAATGTCATACGCTCACAATTAAGCAGGTAAACAATTTCTTTTGTTAGTGTAATAAATATATTATGTTTCTTTATGTGTCTTAAAGAGGCAGCAGAGATCTGTGGTCTAGGCAATTTGAAGACTTGAGACCGCAGAGCACCAATTACTACTGAAACCAATAAGTATTTCTTCTGAATTTTCCACCTTTTTCCAAGTTTTAATTACTGAAAAGTTGCTTATATTGCACACTTGATTTTAATGACATAAGAATTCAGAATAACATTTGTCACAAAATTAAGTTGGAGCTTTGAAGAACACGAAGAATTCTAACCCTCAACCTACCTGCTGGTCTCTGCATCTTTCTCTCTTCTCAGATCAGCCATCAGTTCTTTTTCTTTAATGTAAGCCCTAATTTGATCATCCTCTTTGTCTTCTTTTTGTTTCTCATCATTTTTAATTTTTTCCTGTTCAGCTGCATGCTCCTGTTGAAATGGAAAAGAACATTTATTTTAATGCAGACCGAGACTTCTGAAATATTTAATAGGAAAAGAAAAATCCAGTAGAGCCTTCACATCTAGTCTATAATTAGAGCTCTTTGTAACAGTGGAGAAGGTATAAAACATAGGAACAGATGGAAGAGAACACTCAGGACCTAACTATCACAGACTAACACAAAAGAAAAGTTAGTATGCAGTCACAGTCCGCAGCACAATATCCTTCAGTTAAATTTTCCTCTGCTTTCCTCCTGCTCACAAATAATCTCTCATTCCAAGTGTCATTCACATGGCGCTGGCTCTGAAGGATACAAACAGTACTCTGTAAAACTGTGGAAGTGTAAGGCACAAGGCATTTTGTAGTCACCTAGAAATTGGCAATTATATATAATGCTTTTCTTACACGTGCAAGGTTGAAGGCAAATGGAGTAATAGGACCAGAAGGAATATAGGAAGGGGGAACAAAAGCAAACAGGATTTCAGTGAAGTTCTCTCCTTGTACTGTCTCACCTGCCAATGAATCAAAGTACTTCCACCTCTGCCTCCTTGTTTAAGCAAGCATTGGGGTTCGTGTAGGAGGCGTAGAAGGGAGAACAGCAGATGTGATAAGTAATTTTAATAGATTTTTTATAAGGGCATGTAGTGACAGGACAAGGGGAAACAGTTTAAAACTAGAAGAGGGTAGATTCAGATGAGATATTAGGAAGAAATTCTTTACTGAGAGGGTGGTGAGACAATGGAACAGGTTGCCCAGAGAGGCTGTGAATGCCCCCTCACTGGAAGCACTGAAGGCCAGGCTGGAGCAACCTGGTCTGGAGGGAGGTGTATCTGCCTATAGCAGGGTGGTTGGAACTAGATGATCTTCAGGGTCCCTTCCAGCCATTCTATGATTTCCTAAACAACTCTAGTCACAAGGGGAAAGACAACTTATAAAGGTATTTTCATGTTCACAGACCCAGCCTACTCCCCTCTTCCTAAGAACGAACAGTGGGCTTAAAACAGGCTTAAATCCAGTTCTCAAGTCAGGGCTATTCTTCAGTGCCTACATGAGTGTTTTCCATTACAGTCAAAGCTCTGGGTGTCACATCGCAGCTTTCCAGAGGCCCTTCTCAAAAGAGGACAGAACAACACTGCCTGCAGCTGGCAAGGCAGAGGAGCATGACCCAGCATTACTGAAGCTATCAGCAAACCTGCTGCCAAGAGACCCATTTATTCACGGGCCTAATGCAAGTGCTTCATGGTGAAGCATGTAATGAACTCTTTCTTTCTGTTACTTACATGATACTGCCTCTGGCGTTCACGTTTCTCCTCCTGTTCCTTTTCTTTTTCTTTCTGAATTTCCAGTTGATACAACTGGCTCAGCCTTTGTATTTTTTCACCTTCTCTTTTGTTTTCCTGCTTGACCAGGTCTGCCTGATGCTTGTGCTCCTCTATTCTGAAACAGAAAAGGAAGGAAATAGATGGCCCGGGGACTTCATGACATAGGGAACGGACTGGAATACCACACGTCTTGAACACTGAACAGTTTGATACTTTGAAGTGAAAGCAGAACATCAGATGAAAATAGAATCATGTTTTTTAAAACAGTAGCTACAATCCATTGGCCAAAGCTGAGTTCCAGCACAAAAACTAAGTATAGGAATTTCCTGATTAAGTTAATACTAGCAAAAGCAAACACGACCAGCATATGGACTTGAATAACAGCCTGCATTTGATTCACTTGTTTAACAGCTGGCCCGCTCCATGAACAAGTTCGGCTTTTATCTGAGCGCAGCCCTCCGAGCAGCGCTGCAGCGCGGGCGGAGGCACGGAAGAGTCATCAGCCCTCCGCGCCAGACCGACCTATGAATCACTGTGGGGAAACGGCAAGAGCGACAAGTTTTGCCTCAGGGAGACAAGCCGCTCGCCTCAGCATCAGAACACAGCTCCCCTTGTTTAGCTCCCACCAGCAAGAGGCGTTTCTGAAGCCGCAGAACTGACTTTAAAAAGGCAGCGGAGGTCGAGCAGCGCTCACGCGCCGGCCGCTTCGAGCGGACGCGGCCCCTCCGCCCAGCGCGGCACCGCCGGGCCGATGCCGGGCAGGCCGGGACACACGCGGCCCGCGGGCGCTGCGCTGACGGCGCCGGCAGGCTTTTCAACCCGAGCCCCGCTCCGGGAGCCGCGAGGTCCCGACTCACTGCGCCAGCTGCTCTCTGGCCACCGCCCGGCGCTCCATGTAGCGGCCGCGTTCCCGCTCCGCCTCCCGCTGCTCGGCGCCCGGCTGCTCGTGCTCCATCGGCAGCTTCCGCCGAGAGACAGAAAATCGCCTTTCCGGATCCCCACCAGCGGCGACAGCCGTCCCGGCACGCCCGCCCTCTTTTCTCTGTCTCCAGAACGGGAGCGCCTCAGCACCGCGCGGCCCCGAGGCGGAGAGAGCACTGCCGAGCGGAGCCAGCAGCGACAGGACAATAGGGAAGAGATGGGAACGCCCCGGCTCCGATGGCGGCACGGCACGGCCCCGCCCTGGCGCGCTGCTGGCGGGCCCCAGAGTGCGTGTGGCGGGAGCCGCCCTGCCGGGCCGTGCGGGGCTGCCTGTGTGCGCTGCGTCCCTCCACGGCGGGCTCGGCTGCGCGGGAGCGGAGCGACTGCGTTCGTCCGCCCTTCTCCTGCCTGGAAGACGTTCCTCGCGGAGGCGACTGCTGCCGTTAGGAAGGAACGCGCCCACCCGCTACGCAGCAGAGATAAGGGTAGCTGTGGTCGCGCCCTCTGGCTCCAGGCCCCGTGCTGTACGTCAGAGCCTTTTGCTATCAGAAGCCAGGCTCAGAACGTTGATGGCACACAAAGACCCGTTTTCCAAATATTATCAATCATCCTTTTTGTGAAACTTCCTAACTTTCTTAGAACTTGTGTTAACTAATGCCCTGGCTGAGAGAGACGGACAGCTTGGGGTTGGAACAGAAGGATGTGTGCAGCAAAGCTAAGCTTCAGGTTCCTTGGGCTGTAGTTCTGATGGACCCCAAAGTAGGAATGTCCTGCTCAGAGCCCAGGATATCGCAGAGGAAGTTACATGAAATTCTAACTCTGTCTGTGTCACGTAAAACACAATGGAAATGTTTCAGCAAAAAGACAAATGTCAAGGACTGAGATGTATGTTGGCTTTGTGCAACAAAGTAAGCTCCAAAGAGTTCCGTGCTCCCTGAGAAACAGTTTTAGATCTGAAATTGCCTACAGCAGATTGCACGTTCTACTTTTTGCAAGAACCACCAAACTGCGTTGTTTCTTATTGCCGTGGCATTTTTGTCATAGCTATTTACAGCTACACTGGGACTTACTTGCTTTTTGGATAACCACATTTCTCTGTGACCAGCTTACATCCTTACTTCTACATAACTAATCTACAGCAAAGCATTAATTTTACAGAGACAGTTGCAAAGCGCTACAGAAACTGCAGTAATGTAAGTACTCTGACTTTTGTGTGCGTTCTTGCCCTGTAGATTCTGGTTTTGTTTTGTTTTGTTTTTTCATTATGGAGAATACTGAATACGGAAATAGGTTAGCAAGCACTGTAACTTTTTGCACCCTTTTTTGGTGCTGGGAATCTGCATCACACATATCCCGTAAGACTGAAAAACATGGGACAGTGCATTTCTAGAAAAAATAATGAAAAAGGAACTGTAGTAGCGAGCCTTTGGCTGGAATAGGTAATGTTGATGGTCAAAATTATATATAATGCATTCTTATAGCCAGTTATTATATGAAATCATAACTCTTTTCACGTCACATAAAATGTGATGGAAACATTTCAGCAAAGAAACATCTTACAACTTCCATCTTCCATCTTACAACTTCCAAAATACAAGTTGGTGTTTTTTTAGAACATACTTAATTCTGCGGAATTTATTTTTTCAAATGGACTTTCAGATTCATAGCATATATTTAATGTAGATCCATTTATAGTTTTGACTGAAGATTCAAGGTTCAAGAAATTGGGGTTTTGTTTGTTTGTTTTTTTAACCACTTAAGTTCTTCAGTAGTAGCACTGCTACAACAAGGTAATTGGGTCTCAGCAACATCCTGTGCTTGAAAACCAGGATTTGTTCCTTCACTTCCTCTAGAAAATGGGCCACCTCCAAGTCCTCTTATTTGTTTGGAAGCTTTCAGGAGAGGATAGAGATGATGTGTAGTCCTGGACTCTGATTCAATTACTTGCTTTGCATACTTCTGAAATTCATGTTCTTTATGGAGCGCAATAAGCTCTATCTGAGCATTGTAGTCCAAGTCTGCTTGCTTCTCCTGCTGTTCTTTTGCCTTCTTTTCTGCCTAAGGAAGAAAAAGAAATAAAAAGGGAATAACAAAGCTTAGTATTTCTTTCACAACATAATTGTCTGTTAAAATTTAGAGAGGGTAAGCTTACAGGAGATTGGAGGTGATGTTACCATGCTTGTCAGATATCATTCCTCCCCAGTTCATTCCCAGCTCACCCCACCATAGGAAAGTGTACACTGAATAGCTGAATAAACATCAGCATTCACTGCTGTTCCTTGGGGATCTGCCCAGAAGATACAAGAGGACAGCAGCCATACATAAAGACACAGGACAGGAAGTGATGTGTCATTGCACACCAGCATTCGCTCATGCACCACTCGTTGACGGGAAAGGGTTTGTATGGGTGACTCCCACACTGACTAGCACTGTTAGTTAGGTTCATGCTCCTTTTTGAAGGCGCTGAAAGGGTATGGCACTTCCATTTACCATTTGCTGGATCTGAATTTTCTGTACTTCTATGTTTGCATCACGTTGTCTTTGTTTCTTGGCTTTTTCTGTTTCCAGATAGATCTGATTCTTTTCCACTAATGCTTGAAGTTCTTTTTTACTTTCTGCTTTTTCCTCTCTCTCCTTTTCCAATTTCATCTTGACCTGCATTTTATAAAATAGAGAGAGTTAACCAAATAGTTACCCTGCTAGTTTGAGGAGCCATGCCTTTCAACCAGCCATTCTCCAGGCCAGATCCAGAAGCAATAACGATGCAGTCCCACACCAGTGCTCTGATGTGCTGGATGATGGCAGCTGCACTCTGTCCAGGCCCAGTTTCTGGTAGCACTGACAGGCTCCTTGGCTGCAGGAAGCAGGGCTGAGACTGAGAAGTGTTTGCACAAATTACTTACAATTACAGAGCTTTCAAACTCAAACGGATGAACTCAGGTACCCTGTGGCTTGCTTAGGGTGTTAGATGTGTAACTGTAAATTGTAAATATGCAAGGCAGCTACTGAGAACTTGTGGGTATGTCTCACTAACAGTTAGCATGCTAAAAACCACAGTATTCCTAGAAGGTATTCCTAAGTACATGCCAGAAAGAGGGATGAGAACAGGTTAGATTTCTTACCACAGTGGCTCTGTGTTCAGCAATAGACTCAATGGCAGCCTTTTTTTTTGCTTCTTTCTCTTTTTGTTCTTTTTCTTGTGTAGCTTCTTTTTTTGCGACGTCTCTAGCAATACGCTCATCTTCCATCTTCATTACTTCACTCATTTGTGCAGCTAATTGCCTAACAATTTTATCCTGGTGTTCCTGTGTTATTCTGCAGAGGAACGTAAGTATTCATAACATATGTACCTAGTCTACATGAAGCACTGCTTCTACCAAACCCCACCAATTCCACTTCATCTCCTTGTATTCCTCCTGTTGTATTTTTTAAAATTATCTGATTTAGTGAATAAGTGTTCCCTATATTTTTGTAACACGATTTTTTGTTGCAGTGAAATGCTGTATCATTTGGAGTCTGCCTAGAATCTTGCTATTAGGAGGGACTTGTAGGAAGTATTGGCCAGAAATAGGAACAGTTAGATTAACTCACTGGCAAATTCATGCTGTACTTTCAGTGTTGAATAGGTAGACCTTACTAATAGCATTATTAATAAAATAATTTAATTAGTTAATACCTTGTTAAGAAGTAGAACTATTTTTCTTGATCTATCTCAGAGAAGTATAGCTTATGCCCCCAAATACTTTTAACTATGATTCTAGTTGTCTTTAATTGCTGAGAGGGTGGAGGCTTGTCAGGACATATAGAAAATCACTTTTCCCAACACGCTGGAGTAGAACTTCGCACTCTTGTAAATCTTTATGCTTTGAGGAGTGAGGAGATCTATTACTAACCCACAGATCTATTTCTAATGATGCTGTGAAAGAACTTCCTTTTTGTCCTGAATTCTCCATGTCCCATTGAGTAGAATTTAATTACAGAATAATTGTGGGCTTTGTTATGTCATCAGTCTGAAATATTTGAATAAGAAAAGTGTGCAGTTCTTAATTTAGATACATTTTATAAGCTAGCTTTGAACCTACCTACGCATTTCAGCTTCTTTCTCTTTCATCAGCTTGGCAATAGTTTGCTTTGCTTTGAAATGAGCTCTAATCCGATCATCTTCTTCCATTTGCTTCTGTTCCTCCACTGCTTTGATTATTTTCTGGTTAGCTACATGTTCCTGCATAGACAAAATGATCCTGATATAACAGATGAAATTTAGAAAATCTAGACCTGGATTAGCAACTCCCTCTCTTCATGTTTCTCTCAAAGAGAATGGAGAGGAAAGGGATTCTTATTGCTTCCTCATCTGGTTTGAACATGCATGAAGGGGAAGTGGTAGAAGAGAGAAAGAAGGGGAATCAAGCATCAGACATGGGTTGGAGCTGCTTCTGCCAACCCATTACTGTGCAGTGCAGGGAGCTTTATCCCTTGCTCCCATCCACGCACACGGGAGAAGGGAATGCTGAGAGGAATGGGACTGTGCAAACCCCTCCAATTATTTTCATAGTCACAAACTATAATTATTCCCCTTTCCTATCAGAGAAAAATGGGCATAAAACTGGGCAGGTACATGGTACCTGGCATACTGAAGCTATCAGCAAACCTCTTGTTGCCAGTAGGCCCTTTAAGCTATATTAATTAACATTACTGTTTCATTCCAGACAGCCAAAACAAAGTGAACATTTTGAACTCTTTGATTTCCTGTTACTTACATGATACAGCCTCTGGCGTTCAACTTTTTCCTCCTGTTCCTTTTCCATCTTTCTCAGAAGTTCTAATTGGTACAATTGGCTCAGTCTCTGTATTTCTTCTCCTTCTCTTTTGTCTTCTAGCTTGGCAAGATCTGCTTGATGCTTGCGCTCCTTTATTCTGAAACAAAAAGAGGAGTGGAGTTTATGGGTTAGGGGCCATAGGAAGTAATGAACAGATATGGATTTTGCATGTCTGCAGGTACTTTAACACTAAAATATCTGGTATTTTGAAGAGAAGGTGGGTAGAATGTCTGAGGTAAAAACCAGCATGGCTGTAGTGGTAGCTCTTCAGTAATCTCACCAGAAATTAGCTACATAGTATGTGCAGACATACTGCAGATGACTGGTAACAAGATTGAGCTGGACGACCCATGAACACCTCTGCATCCATTACATTCTGCCATATCATCGCAACAGCTTCAGTGAGCAAGATTTCCTCAGTAAGTCCCACCATATCCACACTTCTCTGTCTGGACACGCAGGCAACAGTTTAAACCAGAAGTATTCTTCCAGGCCCGGAATACTTGAGACCAGACTTTAAACCTACTACCTGCATCAGGGAATTTGATTCCTTCTGTCAGCCACCAGTTCTGTAACTGTCACCTGCATTGGTGACTCCCCCATAAACGCTTGGGAACGGCTGAGTGGAGGCAGCAGTGATGGGTTCTCTAGATGCATTATCTGGCAGCTGATTATGGCCAAAGCAACAGTCAGATTTAATTTCTTCCTTTTCTGGAATCAAAATTGATTTAGAATACACTGTCAGGAGCAAAACTGAAATAGTGATGTGGTTAAAACCTATTGCTGCCTACTGGAAGTGATTTCACATGCAGACTGTTGGCAACTTACCACGCTGCTTCTCCTTTTTGTGCAAGGTCTTTTGTTTGGATTATTCTTTTTAAAATGTCACATTTCTGAGACAAATGATTATTAACTCTCTGTAAAAACCTTACAGAGTGTATTTGTGAGAAGAGAGTCTAAATAATTAATCAAAAATAATCCTACTTTACTGTTACTTACTGTTCCAGCTGATCTCTGCATAGTGCCAGTCGATTCATATAACGTTGATGTACCTTTTCTTCCTCTCTGAGAATAGCTTCTTTACGTTTACGTTCTATTTCTTCTTCCTCCTTTTTGTTAACATCTGACTTTAACTTTTTAAATTCAATTTGAGCATCCCTTTCCTTTAGGACCTCAGCAAGTAGAAGGGCACTCTGCAAGAGAACAATTTTAGTAATTTGCATGTCCAAAGTGTTCAAATCATATTGAGTTTCTTTAAAAGGAAAAATTGTAAATTGTCAACAAACATGCAACCCTTTCACTCTTTCGTTCTGGTGGTACAGATAAGTTTTTGCTTTATTGATGGTCTCCTTCCATTTTGCTGCTTGGAATTCTGCTTCTTCCAAATCAAGTAACTTTCTTTCTTCCTCTTGCTTTTCTTCACGTAGTTTTCTGGCTTTCAGTTTCCTTTGTGCCTGGCCCTACAATGCAGGTAAAAATTCACCTTCTTATAAACCACATTTAAAAATCATGGATTGAATATAAACCATTCTGAAGGTAGCATACTCCATGATTTTTTTTGTTTGTTTTTACTTCTGCATTTCAGGTTGGCAACTAAACTATTTATGCAGAACGTAGTTCAAATACATGTTCAAAAGCAAATGTTAACCTAAGGGATTACACCTGGAAATACTATTGCATTTTAGAGTCACGGAATCATGCTGCACAGAGCAGAGGGGCAGATCACCTCCCTCGCCCTGCTGGCCACACTTTTCTTGATGCAGCCTGGGATACAGTGGGCTTTCTGGGTCGTGATGGCACATTGCTGGCTCGTGCCCTGCTACCATCCACCAGTATCCCCAAGTCCTTTTCGGCAGAGCTGTGCTCTGTCCTTATGTCCCCCACCTTGCACTGTTAATGGGGGTTGCTACAACCCCTGTGTGAGACCTTGCACTTGGATTTGTTGAACCTCATGATGTCCATCTGGGCCCTCTGCTCGAGCCTGTCTAGGTCTCTCTAGAGGGCATCCCATCCCTTGGGCATGTTGATCACACCGCACAGCTTGGCTCTTCTCTTTTTGCATACATGAGAACAGCCTGCCTAGTTTAGAAACGCACGCAGTGTGCTTACCATAATGGTGTTTGTCCAGTCTTTGACAGCTGCTTTGGAGCGTAAGTGCATTTCTTTTCGTTCTTTCTGCTCCGCGAGGATGCGTGCTGCCTCTCTGCTCGTGCTGCCGAGGCCGTCCTGCATCCTTTCCCACTCTGCTCTTGGCAATACGATTACCTGACGGAGATCTACTTCGTTTGGAAGAAAACATCCATCTAGAATGTTATTTTCTTCAAATCTGTGTGATGCTACATAGAGGGGGAAAAAGTACTGATGTTTTTTGAAGTCAGAAAACCCTGAATTCAAACCTGTGTCAGCATTTGAATTCGTGCACGGCAGCGACAGCAAGCGCTCCATACGGTCGCTCTCCCCACCTCGGCACCCCGGAGCCAGCACAGAGCGCCTGTGCCCGCGTTCTGACCGTACGGGTGTTGGTGCTCAGACTGCGGCACCACTCATACGTCCCACGGCCGTCTGCGTGCGCAGGTTTGATCTGTAGTACCTGGCAGTTTGGGACGGCACTTGGACGTGGGTCTGAGAGCAGCCGGACCGGGCAGCGCTCCCAGAAGGGGGGAAGGGAGGAACGCCGAGGAGGCTGTAACGCACGGTGCGGCTGCGCCTTGCCGCCCTCGTCCCGTGCGCTCGTACGTCCTAAGGACGACGCGGGTGGGAGCCACCCGCCGGGGACAGCCCCACGGTCACGGGGAGCGGCTCTGCCCGCACCCGCGAGGCTTCACTCACGCGCCAGCCGCCGCCTCCGGCGCGTCGGCCCCGTCGCCGCCGCCATGGCCGACGGCCGCGCCGCCGTGTGTACGCCGCGTTGCCGGGCGACCCCGCCGAGGCCACGTGACGGCGCGGAGCGGAGGCGGGCGGCGCGAGCCGGAAGTGGCGATCGGTGCGGCCGGCGGTGCCGCTCCCGGCTCTCGGCGCGCTGCCGTCCCGCGGCCCCCGGGGCGCCGCCGCCGCGTTCGGTCCGGCTACGGCGGCAGCAGGCGGGGGCCCGGTGAGGCCCGTGAGGTGCGTCCTGCCGGGGCGCGGAGCTGTCGCGGGGGCTGAGGTAGTGCTCTGCGGCCCGGACCCGCGGGCGGCAGTGCTTTTCACGGCCGCGGTTCCTTGCCTTGGCGTGTCCTCGCCGCCCGCCGCTCGGTATTTCGCTCGCCAAATGTCTCTGAAGTCTGTGGCGCCATCCGAGCGTCCCCCCGGGTGCTGGAGAATCCCGGTTTGTTGGCGCTGGGACTGCTGGCGCGGAAGCGTGGAACCGCTGCTGCGGTGCGAGGCCCGCGGCTGGAGCTGCGGCTCCCGCTGGGCGCAGTTCAGGGCTGCTGCGGGCAGAGGTTTGGCACGGGCTGCACTCTGACCTTCCCACACTGCTGTTTTTAGCATCAGCGTTACTTTTCCCATAGTTGTAGTGGCCATAAATAGCTTTCTCTGTTCAGATATTTGTCTTTCTTGCATATTTTTTTTCTCCTGAGCACAAGACCGGGGTAACAATTCAGTAGTTCCATTTATGTAAATATCTTTTTTCTCTGTTTGTTTTGGGACCCATTCATGGACAGCTATGAAATTTCTGTTGGTTTTTGATTTTGACCATACGATCGTAGATGAAAATAGCGACACCTGGATTGTGAGATGTGCTCCTGACAAAAAGCTTCCCAGTGGGTTACGGAACTCCTACCGGCCAGGACACTGGACAGAATACATGGGCAGAGTCTTTGTCTACTTGGGGGACAGTGGCGTCCGAGAAGGTGACATGAAAAGAACCATGACAGCAATTCCCTTCACTGCAGGCATGGTCGATCTTCTGGGGTTTATTGGCAAGAACAAAGAGTTTTTCGACTGCATCATTGTTTCAGATTCTAACACGGTATTTATTGACTGGATTTTAAAAGCTGCTGATTTCCACGAGGTGTTTGATGAAGTGTTTACAAACCCAGCATCGTTCAGCAGTACTGGCTACCTGACCGTGCAGAGCTTTCATGCCCACCATTGTCCAAAGTGCCCTAAAAACCTTTGCAAAAGGAAAGTTTTAAAAGAGTTTCTAGATAAACAGTTGGAGAGAGGAGTGAGTTATACGCAGATTGCCTATATAGGTGATGGTGGGAATGACTTGTGCCCTGTGATGTTTCTGAAGAAGGGTGATGTTGCTATGCCCAGGCATGGGTATACCTTAGAGAAAAAGATTTCTCAGCTCTCTCAAGATTTCTGTCCCATAGAGTGTTCTGTTCTGGTTTGGTCATCTGCTGTTGAAATTATGTCTTATCTGAAACTGCTTATAAAAGAACATTTGAAGTGATAAAAGGAAACTGATATATCTTTTTTTCTTCCTGGGTGAGAAACGCCGAATGCACATGGAAACACAACATTATAGAAGTGGGATATTAGCTGAACTTATGTTGTTTAAACATAATATGAAATTGTATTTTCAGTTTTGTCAGTAGTGGGAAAGTGATGTTAAAATGGCTTTCAGGCACAGTGTGCATTCCAACGTTTGTGGAGAAGTGTGCGTGTTGGGGAGGGGAGGGGGCTGCATGAGGGATCGCCATTTCCTTTTGTCTTCTCCATCCTGAGACTTTACCAGCCACCAAAGTGATGTTCCATGTGCTGTGGGGAAGGAGTAAGATTAGCGCACAAAAGAATAATTATTTATGAAGAATTTATATGCTTTACTTGCCAGGAATGTGATTCTGGAACTCCTGGCTTTGAATAGTTTTTTTTAAATCGAGGATAAATGTTTAATTTGTAAATGATTTGCTATGTCTCTAATCCTGTTTGATCTGAAGATGCATTTATATTTTTAATACACTGAATATTTTACCAAACTAAATTCCTTTTTAATAGTTTGTATTAAAGACAATAAAAAATTACTGTCACTGAGAAGAGCAATGCCTGATGTTGTAAGGTATTATGCAGTGCATTCTGTTCCTGTAAAGGCCAGGAGTGGCTTAACACAAGTGTGAGTGTCAGTCTGCAGAACACCATTCCTTTGGTCGGCTCTCTCTTGAAACACAGGAGGAATGTTGCCACTTTGCACTGTTGCCACTCCATACAGAACCTGTGCTGTTAGCTGGGACTCAGCCCACTTCTTTTTCTGCTGCCCACAGAATGCTGTGCGTGTCCCTATGCGTTCTTATACCAGTTTCACCTATTCACTCTTTTCTATGTGCATCCTGTAATCCTCTCCTACAAGCTGAAAGGGAACATCTGTATCCATTTTAACTGTGTTTGAATAAGGAATCGTTTATGAGCATGTGGTGGGCATGTTTCTCGCTCATGGTGAGACGAACCATAAGACTTGTACTATCCACGCAGAGGCACTTCAGTCTCATTAAAGTTGAATGATCTGTCTTCATGCCAGATGTTTTCTTTCTTACAGTCTCCCCGAAGTTCCCAAGTTGTGCTATAGTCTGCTATTGAACTGTTGTTGTCTGTTTTAGCCTTTATGTGCCTTAGTAGCTTAGAATTCTGCCTAATCTGCAGTGATATGGCTGCAAGTGTCAGATATGTGGCTCAGCAGCCTGCAGTTGATGTAGATGTCTTCTGCATTGTCTTTGGGTGTTGTTTTCATTTTCTTACTGATATTTAATGTTGTTATTACCCACTTTTTCTTAAGTTGAGGGTTTTTAGGAATGTTTTCCCCTGTTTTGGGGCCAGTTATATAAAAATGAAGATTTTCTTCTAGTACTGCTTTGTAAAGAGTCTGGCGTTTAGCTCTCCATCTGTTTTAACTAATTACAGAAGGTTGTTTTGAACAGTTTGTTGTCTGAGGTGTCCCAAATGATACATTTGGGTTCTCAGGAGCATGGCTTTAATGATGGGTAGTTGATAGCTGTCTGAGACGTTTGTACTGGGGAGTCTACCCTGTTGTGTTCTGCATAGAGACAGTGTTTGATTAACTGAAGGATTTCAAGCTATTTAAGTTTGCTGATTTGTAGCCTGTATGAGAAAATAGTGGTGAATGTTGTGTGGTATTGCATGTTTTTTTTGTTTTTTGTTTTTTTTTCCTCTGAAGTTGTGCATCTCCTTCACTCTAGATATGCTGCTAAGGGTTGCAGATATTGTGCTTTCCATTTCTTGGTTATAAAGCAGCTTGCTTTCAGCTTGTCCCCAGATCTCACTGCTTATTTAAAAAACAAAGTGCAAACCCAACCACCTAGTATATAAATAAGTACTCATCTTTCACTTCCACTTATATTTGTTATTCTTTTAACCTTAGAAACCTCATGTTGTAGTTTGCTCTGTTGCTGATTCCTTGAGCAAGAAATTCATCTTCACACTGACATACATTTTTTGGTTGTTTTTAAGAATAGAGAAGCAGGAGATGAGAAGAAATGAAGCAACTAATTGAAAAGATTTGCAATTACGATCCAATCGCTTCAAGTAGAGTGTAGAGCAGATTTTCTGGGCACAGTGCATATTGGAGACAGAAAGAACTTCTCCATTCCGGTAGGTAAGCCATTAAGCAATTAATGAGGTCTTTTCCCTCTGCCTTCCCTGCTCCAATCTTAATCAAAGAGATCACTTTTCTGCAGCACCACAGTTACCAAACTTTTCCACTTTTGAGTATAAGAGGGGGAGATGAGTATCTCCAGATTGTGAAGTCAGCTTTAGCTGGTAGCAGCCAGAAGAGGCAAGGAGAGGGCAGAGCAGGTCCTTGACGGGGCGCTGGTTCAGTGTAGGTTGTTAATGACCTGACTGCTGGCTGTTTAAACAACGTGCTCTGTGGAAGGGAAGTGTCAACTTCTTAGATGCTTAGATGTTACAGAATATGTAATGGGAGGCTCTTGTGTATATGAACATTTTCTGTATGGTAACAGGTCTGCTACCACACACCAGTTAGTATGGGGAGTACTGAGCTGAAATCCTATACTCTGACCTTATATACTAGGAGACTGGCCAAGAGCTGGGAGAAGTTCCTGCTTATCCATAGGCAGCTGGTGAAATGGAAAGTGAAAAACAGCAGCAAAACAAACTTGTTGGCATGGGGACGTATAAACAGAGTCAGGACCCTACATGGGAATGCTCCAGAGAAAGAAGAGGAGTGAGCAATGTAGCCGTGGAACAGCCGCTGGTGAGAGCAGCTGGGCTGCAGTAATTTTTGGGCTGCAGCACACCACATAACTCAGATTTTTGGGGCTGACAATACATCGAAAGTTGCTGAAAAAAACTGAAGGCAAAGATATGTGAAGAATTTGCTAGTATTTTTGGATCAGTTTGTTCACATCTTGCGCTGTTACATAAAGGCCAATGGAAAGTGTGAGTCCTATTGCACAATCTGTGTGTGAGGAGAGATGGAGTGGGATGTCCATATACATCTTCCCACTCAGATTTCTTCTTTAATTCACGCTTTGGTGGGAACTAGGGAGGAAATACCACTGGTAATTAAAAGAAAAAAGAAAAAAAAAAAAAGCTTATTAATCTGTGCAGAGCAGGAACTCTCCTAATTTCTCCTTTTAGGGTGTGCAGGCACTTAACCAAACCTAACAAATGCTTGCCTCCCTTTGGTGAAGGGGTCCTGGACAGCCCTTTCAGCCCAGGAGAGCACTGGCAGGGCAGGCAGAGTCTGGCTGCGGGTCTGAAGGTACAATTCCCACTGGGGGGAGCACAGCCACCTTTAAGCCCGCTGTGCTTCATTTACATGTAGGGATCCCTATATCTCTAGGAAATGTGCCAGCAGAGAAGAGAAACTGTGAACCTCATTTTCAGAAGCAGTGATAGCCATATAAACTTCTTCCCGGGCAATTTGCCTGTAAGTTGGAGTCAGCACAATCTTGACAGTGCATTAGCCAGCACAGTTTGTGACTGTCATTTATGCTCTGCAAACACTTAGGTGTCTGAGGAAAGCTCAGCCCTCCCCCACCTTATCTCCTCTTTAGGGGATCCCTTCTCCACATTGCTCCTCACAGGCTGTCAGAGGCACTCTGGCTTTGTTGTGTGGCCGTGTGCCACCGGCTTGGTGACGCTCCCGGAGCATCTGTCCCTAATAGGGCTGACAGCCGCGGGGCCGTATGTCATCGCTGCCATAAGCCTTCCCCCCCTCCCTGGGGGCTGTGGAGCTGCGGGGCAGCGGCAGCAGCGACTTGGGCCAGCGTCTCTCCGCCCTTCAGCCGGGGGCTGCTGGCCCTGTCGAGGGGCCCCCACTGGGTGAGTACCAGGGCTGCGGGTGGCTTTGTGCAGTGGTGACGATGGCCCTGCCTGGGCAGGAGGACTACGTGTTCACCTACCGCGACTCATCGCACCCTGCGTGCCTGCTGGACGCGTTCCGGGCGTTCTACCTAGATGGGCTATTCACTGACATCGCGCTTCAGGCCGCCTCGGGGGTCCTGCTGCATTGCCACAGAGCCGTCCTGGCAGCTTGCAGCTGTTATTTTAGAGCCATGTTCACAGCCGATATGAAAGAGAAATCTAAAAAGCAGATCAGGCTTCCTGAGCTCAGCCATGCCGTGCTGGAAGCCCTCGTGAATTATGCGTACACCTCCCGGATCCAAATAACAAAGAGAAACGTGCAAAGCCTGCTGCAGGCGGCTGATCTCCTCCAGTTTGTCTCAGTCAAGAGAGCCTGTGAGCAGTTTCTGGTCAGGCACCTGGATGCTGACAACTGCCTTGGGATGCATGCCTTTGCTGAGCACCACAATTGCTTGGAACTGGAAAAGGAATCCTGGAGGATGTTGCTGTGGCAGTTTGAAGAAGTGTGGAAGCAGGAGGAGTTCCTGGATGTTAGCAAGGAGAAGCTGGCTTTCATCCTCTCCAGAGATAACCTTAATGTCTGGAAAGAAGAGGTGGCTGTCGGAGCTGTTGTTAGGTGGGTTGCACACAATGTAGAGGAAAGAATTGAAGACATCTATGAACTGCTGAGCTGCATCAAACTGGACCTAGATAACATGTATTTGAGGTCAGCTTTAAGCCTGCAAAAAAAATGCCGACTTAATGATAATAAGATAAGGTCCCTTGTGTACAGTGCCCTAAACCCCAGTCCCAAAGGCCTTTCCAAGAGACCAACGGCCACCATGTATGTGGTTGGAGGATATTATTGGCATCCCTTATCAGAAGTTCACATTTGGGATCCTTTAACTAACGCATGGCTCCAGGGAGCAGAAATGCCAGATCACACTCGAGAGAGCTATGGGGTCACAAGCCTGGGGCCAGACATATATGTGACGGGAGGCTACAGAACAGAGAGCATCGAAGCCCTGGATACTGTGTGGATATATAACAGCGAGCGGGATGAGTGGGCAGAGGGCTGCCCCATGCTTGATGCGAGATACTACCACTGTGCAGTGTCCCTGAGCGGCTGCATCTACGCACTGGGTGGCTACCGGAAGGGAGCTCCAGTGCAAGAAGCTGAGTTCTATGATCCTTTGAAAAAGAGATGGGTTCCTATTGCAAACATGATCAAAGGTATGTAAGCTCTCATGAGGCCTCAATGTCAGTCCTCTCGTGTTTGCCACTGAGAAGTGCCACTGACACATTCAGGGCTAGAGCCTAGTCAAGTTCGGAGGGATCATTCCGTTGATGTCGGGAGGCTTTGGTTCAGGCCTGTGTGGGCCAAGCTGCTACAAACACCCAATGGCTGCACTGGGCTGTGCCGTCGGGCACAGAATGGACAAGCAATGGCAGTGCCATTTAAGTTTGTCTTCCTTCAGGAGATAAACTTCTATTTGAGTTGGAAAGAAGTTAGAAAACTGCCTGGGATTAGAGTCTGTTCAGCAGTCAAAAAAAATTGAGCTCCAGTAAAGGGACTGTGTTAGTTTGGTATAAGGTCTGATGGTTTTCTGTACAGTTTATTTATAAGTGTGTCATCATTTAAGACATCTTGCATGCAGCTCGCTCATATTCCAGAGTATCACCTGTTCAGGATCCTTAGTTAAATCTTTGGAGTAAGGATAATGAAAAGCATAGATACCTATTTTTAGCACCCAAAATAGTGACCCACTGAAAATACACGCGCTTGGAGAACAACCTAACTAAAAGATATTATTTTGTTATAAAGCTTATAAACAATCATACATCTTATCATACGTTTTTACAACTTAACGTAATTATTTACTATTTGTTATATTTTAAAAGATTTTATTGTAAATTGTTGCAAAGTAATTTTTTTCAGAGATTTTGAGGTATTTAACAGGAGAAAAACACTTACTGTGCTCATGCCACTGTTTCTTCAATGTTCATATATCTCCTACAAATATTACTATTAGCCATTTTTAATTTAAAAATATGAATGCTACACTAATACTGCAAACAGATATTTGGGCCCATTTTCTGTGTGAAACTTTTTGGAGGCTTAAAAACTCACCAACATGCTAGTTTTTGTCCATGTTATCTTGCAGAGATATTGTTTTATTTTTGTTTTGTTCTCCCAGAGACAGAGCTATCACAGCTACATTCCATTTGTGTCCTTCCTTGTATAACAGCATTGTTAATAATATGGGAAAGACTAAAAATATCAGGAAAAATACCCTGAGACACTAAGTAATCTCAGCTTCCATTGACTTTGTCCTTGCCACATATGTGACACTTAAAAATGAGTTAAACATAGTGGAAGTGATTCCCTGTTCCAAGTCCAGTGTTACCGTGCCCTTAGTGACTGAATAAAAATTGTGATTTTAATTTGTGTCTATGTTACGTGCAATACATGTCAGTTACTGCAATTTTATTTAATTGTTCATGACTTATCCTGCTAAAATAAGATGTCTTGTCAGTTTATTTAGTTTCACATTCATTTAAATACTTGCAAGCATAATTTCATCCTAAAACACTAATTAACAAGCTATTTAAACTGTGTTTATTGATGGGAGTGCCGCTGGGTGCTGTTTGTGGTCTGACGGTGTGTTGTGACTGTTGTACTGTGCAGGTGTTGGGAACGCCACCGCCTGTGTCCTGCACGAAGTCATCTACGTAACCGGCGGTCATTACGGCTACAGGGGGAGCTGCACCTATGATAAGATCCAGAGATACCATTCGGGTAGCAATGAGTGGAGCATCATCACCACAAGTCCACATCCAGGTAAACAACAAGCTCTGAAATGTGATGTTTTTGTTCCAAACTGGAGGCCTTTAAACCCCCTTGAATGTTCTGACTGAAAGGAAGGTATCTGGTAGGGCAGTGATGTCCAGAGTGGATGCTTGACCATTTACCAGGGGAAAGCCCTTCTCACAAGCATATGTTGTATGGAAATCACTCCATAAGTATTTGGCTAAGGAGTGCCTACCATTTATTAAGTATGATAGCAAGCTAGCTTTCCATAAAATCTGTCTGTTCATGGACATTTGGCAAAGATCTTTTGTATGCTTTTTAAAAGGATTTTCTTTATTTCCTACATTTGGTAACAGTAGGTTTCTAAAGAGATTATCTGTGCATACTGGTGCTTTCCTATGTGTGCTCTGTAACACCTTGGGCTTGCTCTGACCATGGGTAGCAGAAATCCTTGAGGTGTCCCCTCAGTTCACTGAGGACCCTCAGCTGACCTGTGTGCCCTGTGTTTGTCATGTCAGTTAGTGTTCTCATGCTGAGTTGAACCATGTTCCTTTCTTCCTGAAGAATATGGACTGTGTTCAATCACATTACAAAACAAGATCTATTTTGTGGGTGGACAGACCACGATCACAGACTGCTACGACCCAGAGCAGGACGAGTGGAAGCAGATGGCTCACATGTTGGAACGGAGAATGGAGTGTGGTGCGGTGGTGATGAACGGGTGCATCTATGTGACAGGAGGATATTCCTATTCCAAAGGAACGTATCTGCAGAGTATTGAGAAATTCAACCCTGAACTAAACACGTGGGAAGCAGTAGGCAACCTTCCCAGCACCATGCGTTCACATGGCTGTGTCTGTGTGTATAATGTGTAAGCATTGGATTTTCACAGTGCTGATGAAGAAAACAGATACAGTATTCCTGATGGCACTGATTACCTCATGAACGAGATACCTAATACAGTCTCTTAGTGCACATTCATTAAGGACTGTACAATTTGTTTAAAACAATTCAGAAGGGTAAATATGGGAAAAATATTTCCATGTTTTCTCTGTCATGGAAACTTTTGAATGACTCTCATGATACGTTGTGCAGCTGTATCAGAACTACTGTGAAAAACAAATTTATTTTTACCAGTCACTGGGTAGAACTAACTTGGTGCTAAGATGAGCAAAACCAATGTATTTTGCTTTTCTGTGGAGCAGCGGGCTCAGGATATAATCTTTGACACTCTGAAGATAGATGTAGGAATAGCTCATTGCCACGGATCTGATGTGTGAGACATACACAGTGATATCTACTTGGAGAGTAGTGTTACCACATCCAGGAACTGCAGGCAGTTGCAGGGCATCCCTAAATCCACCTTCAGATGTCAGAGTGAAGAAGAGTACATAGAGAGAAAGGGGGAAGAAATACCACCTGGTAGCCCAGGTATGCAAACAGAAACTGTATGCTGGCTTCATGGTGTTGTAGAGGTCTTTTGGATTGTTTTGCAGCTGTTGTTGATTGCTGTATGTATTTACTGAGAGAAAAGCCTTACTATGATAACTGTTTTTGAAATTTAACACGTCCTCCTGGAATGGAAGGTGGAGTGGGACTGAGTGGTCCAGAATCTCCCTGCTGCTGTGGGGCTGCATGCAGTCTGACAAAAGTGATCCTATCACAGAGCACGGGCCCTGCAGTCCTGCTTACAGAATGACAGCAGAAACAGCTGCCTGCTGCTGGTACAGGAGTGAGGGACAGTGCGGGGCTGTGACATGCTGTGGTGGGAACTCCCTGCCCTTTCTTTTTGGAAAGAAGCTTGGATTTTATTGGATTTGTCAGGATCCAAGGAGGTGAACTTTGAGTTCACTGTATTTTTTTTCCCCTAATCATAAATATTTTCAACATTTTTATTATTTCACATTTTTTACTGTTCTTCCCCTGCATTTGCTTGTAGTAGTTTGCACACAACTCTGAGCTTTGACGTGGAACCCTGTGATGTGTGCATAGCTCTTGGTTTGGTGCTCTGTCAGAAGCTCATGGGTTCAGTGTTCTGTTTTGTTAGCTGCCCAACTACTGAAGAGTCCAGATTGATTTCTTTACAGACTCTAAAATGTAAAGTCGTTTGAGGAACTGAGCTCTGCTGTTGCTTGATGTACACAGGCCAAGCAAGATAGCAGAAGAGCTAAAGGCAATTTGTTTCCCCTGGAAATGGCCACAGCAGAGCGTCATTAACAGTCTGGTGGGGCTGTAAAGGACACCACAACAGCTGAAGGCGATCTCTGCAGCGAGCAGAACTGCAGGCCAACCTGCGTACGTGTTCAGGGCAAATGTTTTTGTTTTGAAAAACACGATAATGGGAGCAGCTGCTCGTAGCTGGCCCCGACGTTCTTGGGCCCCATCTCCCACCCCTGAGAGCTGCAGCCCGGTGCGGGGCTACGAGCCAGGCCGGGAGGGACAGTGCCTGCCAGCATCGTTCCGTCAGCTCCCAGACGCGGCGTGTTGGCTCTGGGGAAAGCCGGGGCGGTTGTGGGGCTGCAGCGCGGCGCCGGACCTGGACCTGCTGCTGCGAGGGGAACCTCGGGGCTGGGACGGCGGTGCGGCGTCTGCCGTGACTTCTGACAAGGGATTCTGAATGCGTTAAACAGAGTGTAAAAGTTCACGGACTTTACTGTTATACTGTCATTTATTTATTGCTGCTGCTTTTTGTACGGTAACGAGCACTGCTGAAGGGGCTCCTCGGCCCCTGACCCGTTTAGCGCTGAGCTGCGCGCGGCGGCCATTGCGCTGCTGGCCCTGACCGGGGGCGGCGAGCTCGTGATTGTTTCATTGGCGAACTGAGGGAACGGCACGTAAGCTGAATCGACGGACTCACTGTGATCTATTAAAGCTTTTATCCACGTGACGCCGGTATTTATAGCACCGTTAGCATCTTCAACGCACGCGCGCTCGAATGAACGCTCACACTGTCTAATCGCCGCAGCTATGGCGGCCGGCACCCCGCCCCCGGGCGCCGTATCCGGCAGCGGCCCCGCCCCGGAAGCGGCAGCCACGTGAGGGCGGCGGCGGTGGCTGCTGGGCACGCGGCGCAGCCTGCAGCCTTTCAAGCGGCGGAGCGGTGCCGCGCGCGGTCCGAGCCGGGCCGAGCGGCGCAGGTGGGCGTGCGGGCGGCGAGGCGTGCGGGCGGCTCCGCGCGGGGACGGCTGCGGGCGGGCGACGGGGACCGCGCGAGGAGGCCGGGGCCGCCGGCCGTTCCGGGCCGCGCTTCCCGCGCTTCCCGCTGCCGGGCCGTCCGGGAAACGAGGCCGGGAGCGCGGAGGCCGGGCGGATGGTGCCGCCGCCCGCATCCGCCGCGCTGGCCGCGCGCTGCCCGCTGCTGGTCGGCGTCCCGCGCCGCGCCCCTGCGTGTCCGCGGGCGTCGGCACGTGGCGGGCGCTGCCGCTGCGGGGCGGCCCGGGGGCTCCGGCGGCTCGGGAGCGACCCGGCGGGGTCGCAGTGGGATCGGCGCTTCTCGCATCTACCGCTCGGCACGACGAATTGTAGCTCGCGCCCGTCCTGCTTTCGCGCGCTGCTGCGGCGGTCCTCGTGTGCGGCGGGCGGAGCGGCCTCTGGCGCCGCACGGCTCGGCGCTGCCGGCCTGGATGCCGGGCCGAGGAGGAGAACTTTCCCGGTTGTAAGGCTTCACCTCGAGGGCTTGCCGTAGTCTTCTGTTGCTTTAAGCTTCCTTACGGGATGTTTTTCTGCCCCGAAGCGCTATCGAGGAGGCGCCCCTCTTGGCGGCGGAGCGGGGCCTCTGCGCAGGGCGCGCTGCGGGCGCTGGGGTCTCGGAGCGGGCGGCGGGGCTGCAGGGCTGCGGAGGGGCCGTGAAGGACGGGAGGGACCGCGTGAAGGCGAGGGCCCGTTTTTCCACAACGCTGCATGGCACTCCTACCGCAGTGTTTCTTAATGGCCTCTGCGGTACCCGACGGTATAAACAGGAGTGTCTGCGTGGATCGGAAGGGGTGTTTCTGGGGGGTTACAAGAGCCAGGCTGCGCCCAGCAGACTGAACGGGAGTTCTCTCTAAATGACAAAACCGAAGCATAACAGCTGGCTTTGCTGAGCGCTTCTGTCACCCTGTCACCTCAGATGCTGCTTCTGCCCGTTCCTCACCTGGGCGGCACTGCCTAGCGGCCTAAAAGGACCCCTGATCTTATTTTAACAGAGACTTGCATGAAGAGTACCAGTTGGTACTGTAAAACTAAACAACAAGAGCAGCTGAAGGGACAGGCTGGTGTAGCCTGGCTGCATCTCACCCCTGAGAGGATTTCATAGCAGTTGCCTCCGCTTGGCCCTTTCCTGCTGTCCCGCTGGATGCTGCCAGCTGTGAGCTGGTGCTGCACGGTTCCTCTCCTCGGTTCAGTGCAGGTGCAGCTGCACGTTGTCTTTTTGTGCTGGGGTTTCTTTAAAAAAGATACATAGTTAAAATCCATCATATTATTTTCCCTCTCAGACTATGCAAGACAGTAACATTTTCCGCAGCTCCTAGTAAGCTAGTATGTTATCTTAAATAATTGAGCTGCATTGTGAAAAGCACCTACAGGCCGGTGGTTCACTTAAAAGATTGCGTAGCGCTTAACAAAATTGGCCATCTTGGGGAAGAGCCATAGCAATGTGTGCTAAGTCACCTTCCCCAGACAGAAAGCTGTTCCTGGTTTTCATGGTCTCTTGTTCTCCCAGCCCCATCTCAGTGTCTCTGAGAATCTGTAACAAATTAGTGATAAAATGAATAAAGTGGAACAGTTCTTCAGTGGGTTGGCCTTCCTTGGATAAGGTGCTGCAGAGGCACACGATGTGTGGTTAATTAGTTGATCCAGGGGAAAAAGCTGAGTCTATTCTGTAGGTTGACAATAAATTCAACAAAGTTAGGTAACATCAGAAACTTATTTGGGAGTCAGGTGCCAGGGATAACAGCATGGGGGAGTGTAATGATGATGGCAGCACCAGAGTGAGGTGGTGAACTGATTGGTTTGCTGGAATTGGGCTGGCTGCTGTGGGACTGTTTAGGTACAGGTAGAAGCACAGTAGTGGAGATTAGGATGTGCAAGACTGGAATGCAAACCCATCTTCACCTGTAGTCCTGATGTTCATTGACTGAACTGGGGAAACTGAAGGCTGTGAATCTGCTTCATCTTCTGCAGCTGGGTTCGATGAGTGTAATGAGAGCCCAAAGGGAGAAAGTCAAAATCTGTGCTTCCCTTTTTAAAGCTGAATTCAGACTGATTTCTGGCACCTTTACAAACCCGCATTTTTCCTCATTCTTTCCTTGACAAGTGGTTACACTTACTGGGAATATCAAACAAATCTTGTTAGAGATGTTTTGCCTATCAATGAGGCCTTGGTTTTGATTTGACAAATGTTAGTTGTTATTGGTTCAAATCTATTGCTGTGGATCTGTGACTAGAAAAAAGGTAAATAAATGCTGTCAATCTTGAATGTAGAATGCAAAAAACTGAAATACTGAATTATTTTATGTGTTTGTTAATTGTTCCAGTTTCCATCTGGAAGTAATGTGGTCCCATTTAGAGCTGATTCACAAAAATAAAGGTGGCTGAAGATCTTGTAGAGGCTGCAATTAATTGCAACACTACAGAAAAGCTCTGTAGAAGTTGGTAATTAGTATTTAGTGACTTTGCTCCAATTTCTCTTCCACACAGCTGGCGAAAATGGCTGAAAATGGAGATGGTGAAAACATGTCTATCTTGGAAAGCAAAATCTGTCAGCAAATTGAGGTAAGTTCAATTTATAGTTTGGGACCTGAACTGAGATGTAGTTTTTAGAGACTGTAATTGGTAGGGACTTGGTAATGGGAAGTTGTGCATCAGTAAACAATTTATTACTGTGTTTGTTGGGGTTATTCTTTGCATGCAAGTAGGAAGATGCATTTTAATTCAGTAGGCTTAATTGTGGGGGGAAAAATCCTGTTTGGGAATCTGTGCTGTTCAAAATTTTAGCATGCTGCATAATTTGCTATTATGATTTACTTTTGGAAGTGTCACATTAAAGCAGGAAGTAATAACGTGAGAATTCCAATAAAAATAACAACTAGAATTTTGAACATTTCTATCCACTGCTGTAAACTGTCTAATGGAAAAGAGCTTTTGAAGTGTGAATATTCCAAAACAAATCTTTCTTTTTTTGCAGTACTATTTTGGCAATCACAACCTACCAAGAGACAAGTTCCTAAAGGAACAGATCAAATTAGATGATGGTTGGGTGCCTTTGGAAGTAATGATCAAATTCAACAGGTAAAGCAAAGTACATCTAATTTGGATAGAAGGGTAATTTTCAGCTACTAAAATCTGTTCTGGTGGTCAAATGCGTCTGTTCTGCACATGCATTCCTCTTGCTGTTTGAACATTTGGCTTCAGCTTTGCCCTGTGTATTTTTCATAACCTGCGTCTCCTTACTTGATAGGTTAAGTCGCCTTTCGAAAGATTTTGGTGTTATAGTAGAAGCACTAAGAAAATCCAAGACCGGTCTAATGGAAATAAATGAAGACAAAACTAAAATCAGAAGATCTCCAAATAAACCCCTTCCTGAATTAAATGACCAGTACAAGGCTGCAATTAAAAACAGATCTGTATATGTTGTAAGTAAGCTTCTTCCTTTGCTCTGAGCTATTCTGGGTGGCTTTGACTGAAAAGCATCTAACCAAAGTCAACTTGGTTTAACTCATAGTAGATAGTCAGGGGGTTACTTCTGATGAAGTATTACAGTTTGTTGCATACAACTGAAGCTTTGTGCTGTTTTACAGAAAGGCTTTCCATTAGATGCAACTCTCGATGATATCAAAGAATGGCTGGAGGATAAAGGTCCAGTTGAAAACATTCAGATGAGGAGGACACTGCAGAAAACATTCAAGGTAGCTCTTGCAGTGTACAGTAAGACCTGGGGCAGGGATGCCTTGTGGAGTACATTTTGTTAAATTATTCTAAAATTGAATGTATCTCACTCAACAGGGGTCAATATTTGCAGTGTTTGATAGTGTTGAATCTGCCAAGAAGTTCACAGAAATCCCAAACCAAAAGTACAAAGACACAGAGCTGATAGTGCTTTTCAAGTAAGTCCACCTATCTGATGTATGAGCTAATAAGAGTGGTCAAGGGTGGATTGAAGTTTCTATACTGCTTTACAGATATCAATAACACAGATCTTTGGAGATGAGCATTTTGATGCTAAAGACAGAAGTAGCCAATTAACAGTTGAGACTGTCTTATAAAGTAATTACAGTGGAATAATCTAAGTAGTATTAACAAAGTTTACATTCTATTGAAGGGAAGAGTATTGTACAAAGAAAAATGAAGAAAGAAAACAAAACAAAGTAGAGGCCAAAGCAAGAGCTAAACAGTAAGTCCTTATCAGCAGAAATGCCTAGTTTTATCACCTGACCATACAAGAACCGTCTCTTAACTAATCTTAACTTCTCTACAGGGAAAAAGAAGAAAAACAGAAACAAGCAGCAGATGCTGAGATGGTATGAATTTCTTATCTGTCTGTAGTTGAAAACTGTTTTCTCATGGATTTTCAATAACAATCCCGTTGCAGCTGTACGCTGTAAAGCTAAGGTGGGGGATAGTCACACCTTTACATTCTATAATAGATCACTTTCTTAAAAGCTGAGATGACTTCCACAACTAACCTACAGTAAGACCTCCTTTTGTCATGGTATTGCGTCTTATTTTCAAGAGACTGATTTTGCTAAAGACTTATATCCTGGATTTGAATTAGTAGGTACATTTGCCTACTCAGACAGGATCCTAAATGCATCAATTAGATGATCATTTTCTTCCATTTTTTTTTCTCCTACTTAGAGACTCTTGTAGGGATGTAATCTGTGTTATGTATGTTTTCAACTTGAGTTCTCAGCCCTTGGAACTGTTTCAAAATTTCAAGAGCATAAATATCGTATGGAAAGGATTCCCAACTTACACATAAATGAATCAGTAAGCAAAGAAATAAAAATTGTTTTTAAAAATGTCTGAGTGGAGCTGTATGAGACTTGGACATCAGCATAAATACATAGCAAGGATGCTTTGCTTGCTTGTGGTATTAAGAAGGCTGACTTTAGTTGCTTATTTATTGTTAGCATGTTTTAATGTTATGCTAGAGGGATGGAAAAATATATTTAAAGCTTGGCTTTTCAATAAAAAAAACTTTTTTTTTTTTTTAAAGAAATCTCTAGAAGAAAAGACAGGATGTCTTTTGAAGTTTTCTGGTGATTTAGATGATCAAACATGCAGAGAAGATCTCCATGCGGTATTTTCTGATCATGGAGAAATCAAATGGATACACTTTGTAAGAGGTGCAAAGGAGGTCAGTATAACTTTGGACATGGAGTTAAGATCTTCATATTAGTTTGAAACTGAATCATTAAATGCATATGCTTTTATATCAAATAATTATTTTTTTTCTCTTGTGCAACTGTAGAATATTTAGAGAATAAGATAATTTGCTTAAATTCTTTCAAAAGGATGAGTAGAGATTCCAGCCTCCTCAGCTGATGGGTTAAAACCTGGGAGTGAGAGTGTTTGTTATAATAGCTTGAGGGTTTTGCTTCAGTCTAGATATTTCATGCAAATACTGAACTTGCTGAGGTACCTAGCAGGATATGTTCATCATTCAAGTCGAGTGTTCTCATGATAAAATTCAAATGCAAATACCATTTTTTCTTTTTAAGGGAATCATCCTATTTAAGGATGCTGCAAAAGAAGCTCTGGAAAAAGCTAAGGAAGCACATAATGGAAACTTACAGCTTCGGAACAAAGATGTTACTTGGGAATTGCTAGAAGGAGATGCAGAGAAAGAAGCTCTGAAAAAAATACTAGAAGATCAGCAGGAATTGCTGAAACAGAAAGGAAAAGGTCCTCTCTGACTGGTTGAAGCATTTACAGTGTTCTAGGAGTGGTGTTATGTATTCACAATTTTATTAGCACAAAATAATTACTAACTGTAAAGGATAATTTTAAGCTTGTCAATTAAAAGACAAATGATACCAAGTTCCTGTCATCTTATCCCAACAGGACGCAAACTTAAAGGAAGAGGGGGGAAGATACCTCAAGGTGCACACAAAGGGAAGGTACAGTTTCAGGGCAAGAAAATAAAGTTTGAGAATGAGGAAGAAGGCGAAGATGGTACTAAAACAGGTATACTATTCTGCATGGGATACACCTTCTTTATTCCAGAGGGCTTATTAATGGACCATTTTTTATTTTCTAAAATTATTTCTGGTCTATCTCAGCCCTATGCTGTAGTACTTCAGTTGTTGTCCTCTGTCAGTACTAGTAAAGTAGCTGTTAAGGTCATCTGTTCAACTCTTTTCAAAAGTTAAAATTGTCCAAAATACATTTTAAAGTATTAAAACATTTACTAGATGCTGAGGTTGTACTGCAAGGCTATTCAGGGCATTCTGCACTGAGGATGGTGGTTACCATCAACTACTGCCACCCTCCCTATCCCCACCCCAGCATCTTGAGGCATATCAAGTCCAGTAGTTCTGGATAGTGGTGGGGCTCAGAGAAGATGAACAACTAAGTTTTCTGTTGCTTAGATGTGACCTACTTTAAAAACAAAGAAGAAAAACCAACAAAACACAACCATTCAACCCTACACCTCTTAGATTTCATTCTGTCATCTTCTTACCTGCCCTAGTGGTGGAACTTCTACAGGTGTTGTGATTTAACCTTGCAGGCAGCTAAACACACACAGCTGTTTGCTAATTCCCCCTTCCACTGTGGGATGCAGGCAGGAATTGGGGGGGACACACCACAACTTGTGGATTGAGATTTTAAAGTAAAAAAGCTGTTTACTGAGACAGAAATAGTAATGATAACAGTATATATATTTACAAAACAAATGATGCAGAATGCACTCACCACCTGGCCTGATACCCAGACAGTCCCTGAGCAGTGACACCCCCGGCCAACTCCCCCAGTTGAGTTGTTCTGTATGATGTTATGGGGTATGGAACATCCCTTTGGCCAGTTTAGGTCAGCTGTCCTGGCTCTGTCCCCTCCCCGCTCCCTGTACTGCTCCAGCCCCCTCACTGGCAGGGAGTACAAGAAGCTGAAATGACCTTGGCTCTACGCAGCACTGCTCAACAGCAACTAAAATGTATTATAAACATTGTTCTCCTTAAGCCAAAACACAGATTCATACCAGACGCTATCAACAAAATCAACCTCTGCCCTACCTGAAACCAGGACAACAAGGAATGCATTCATTATTTCAGAATGCGTAGAAATTCAAAGTCACATAATAAGCAAACCATCTATCATAGCCACAGGGCTGAGGATCGATCTAGGACCCAGGCATGGGCAAACATGTGTGAACATTTAAGAGTAATTTAAGTTGTTCTTTTTTTCCAGAAGATTTGGGGTAGTGGAAAGACTTTCCTTTACTGTAAATTGACTATGTATTCAATTTTGCAGAACCAGTAAGTCCTAAGAAGAGACCACTAGAAGAAACAGAAAAAGAAGAATCTGCACCAAAACAACTGAAAACGGAAAATGGAGATGGAGCTCAGTAATACTAAAGTAAAAATACCATTGTTTTTATTAGTTCATTTTAAATAGGTTTTAAAGACATGTTTCAGTTCAGGAGTTTCTGGTAGAAAATCTAATGAAATCCACTTCAATGTCAACCTATAATGAGAAGAGACATTCATTTCATTGGGTTACAACTTCTTGTTGTTGTTAAAGCAGCATGCTTATTCTTAAGATGCCAATCTGGAAAACTTTTGTATGTATAGTTTTGTTTATACTGTCAATGCTCTCAAATTCTCTGGCATCCCATTCAAATGTAAAAGGTTCCTGACTTCATAATCTCAAAGTGATATTACATAGTAGCTACCAATAAATTCAGAACTGAAAACTGCTCATTACTGACCCCTCTGTTCAACCACTAAGTATTAATCGCAATGGAACTTACTGTTGTCATAAGAAACTTTTCTCAAATGCTATGAATCATCCAGTAGATATGACCCTAAAACTTAGGTTCTTTCAGTGGTATTCAGTTGCCCTAATACAAAACACTTTCTTCTCAGTTGTGTTAGGTTTTATACTTACTGATTTCTTCTTATGGAATTTGTATGATGCTGGGAGGTCGTATCTAAGTTCTGTGAACAGTATAAAAAAATGACACTGTTACTCTACAATGATTATTATAAGTAAGTTGTTATTTTATTAACTTACACCCTACATCTATGTTCTGTTGCTTCTCCTGCCCACCTCTGAGCCTTGCCTGGATAATAGTTTTGACGTCTATGCTAAATTTCTTCACTAATTAGGACTGAAAATTTAATCCGCCTATATCAGACATAAGTGGACAGCTGAGAAGCAAAAATGCATCTTATGCACTTGTGCAACTCCATGTCTTAAGTAAGTTGTATGACTATAAACTAGATAGCTGACGATACTTAAGGATCAGGAAAATAACTGAACTGCTCAAAATACTTGGTTGACTGCAATGGCAGGATGATTTCTCATTTAAGAACTCACATTTTTGGTTACGTTATTCCTTCTTAAGCAGAAAGATGGGTAATTTCTTCCTGAAGACAAAAGCTAGTCCAGGAAGAAATAAAATTACACTTTTTTTTTTTTAATAAAAGGTTAAAAAGCACTTGTGTCATTTTTAGTCTTAAATTATACTTAAATTATACTTAAATTTCCCTCTAGATGTTAAGTTTGTATTGTCTTACAGCTGTTAGCCCCCAAGAAAATACTTTTAATAAGAAATTAATTTTACCTGCTATGACTTCCATCTTCACTTCCCATTCATCTGCTTTCTTTTGAACATGCTGCAGTGTTAAACAGAGCTGTCTTTAAAGGCTGATTTTTACAGAGTTCTATGAATATCAACACACCTGTATGAATTTAGGACGTCTCCAATGCCTCTGTTTTTCAACCTAAAACATTAGATGTACTTATCTCCACGTATGCAAAATCACAGGTAGTCTTTGATATCAGTATTCACTCAAAATGGGCACAAACCATTGAAATGTGAACAAATCAAAGAAGCTAAAGACAGTATGACAAATTACCAGCTGCTTAATTGTTTGTTTATTGCTCACTCTATTAACAGGGAGGACCTACCTGCCGTGTTGAAGTCTTGTGAAGGGAGTAGACAGCTGTTTTTGCCATTTGTAAAGCGGTTTTCAGAAAGACCATATCCATCCCTAGAAGAGTGCTGAAATCAGAACTGCTAAATGCAAGTTTAAGAGAACTGTTTCATGCTTCAATTTTTCTGAAGCAATAGCTATTTGAGAAAACAGCAGTGAATGCATTACAGAAAAAGTTTCTGCAACTTTGCCAACTGTTTTTAATAAAAAAAATAAGGGATATGAAATAGTGTTGTGTTTGAAACCCAGTGATTTTTAGCTGTAGCACTGGAGTGGTTGACCTCTACTTAAAAAACTGATTTCAGGACAGCAAAACATTGTCCCATATTGCAACAGAAAGATTTCATTAAAAGTATCTCCCCTGATACTTTGTTCCTAATTGCATCTGTCTGACTTTCAGAATTACAAACCTTTATTATGTTTGGTACCAAAAGGAGGATTCATGATAACCGTGTCAAAAGTCTCTGACATGCTGTCTGGCAAAGAGGAGACATCACATTGTACCACATCAACATTTGTGAGCTCAAAGTCTTCAAGGTTGCTGTTGAATATTTCCAATGCTTCTGCATCTATGTCAAACCCCACACACAATCTATTTTTAAAACAGAAACCACACAGAAACAAGCACGTTAGTCTGCAAAATAAGAAACTGTTCCAATTCTGTAGCAGGTTTTTGAAAAGGAGTGGCGTGAACTTGTTTTAACTCAGAAAAAGGCACGCAATGACAAGTTCAGTGCTTATAGAAATGAGAGTAGCTGTTGTTTTTTTCCAAGTATCTTTATAAGGTTTGTGAAAGAAGTTCCATGTGTTTGTTCATTCAGTGCTTCAGGAGAGAACAAATGTTATTGTTTCTTTCATGGCAACTGTCCATCTCTTCCACTACTTGAGAGGTTACTGACCATAGAAACATGTTGTGCAAATAGCACAAATAAGCATCAGATGGGTGCCTATGATTTGTTCAGCACTGCTATGTTCTGATTTTATTTTGTCCTATTCGATACTAGAAAAAAAACACCAGAACTTAGTACTGAAATACTCACCCTGCTCCCAACATTGCACTTCCAATGCTGAGCATGCCACAGCCACATCCTAAATCTGCAACTGTTTTGTTTTCAATATCATCAAAAGTATTGTGAATTGTATACAGCATACATGCTGAGGGGAGAAAAACACCATCAGTAATTTCAAATTTCAAATACATCCAATTAATCAACAGAAATTGCTTTCTTCTGCCTTCAGAAAACTCTGAACTGAATGTTTCTTATGCAAAATTAACCCCATGTTTTCACTGTCTGTAATCCTCGTTTTCATTTTTATGTGAAAATAAGACTTTTTTTTTTTTTCCAGGTAAGAAAAAAAAACAACAGTATTTTTGGTCTGTTGGGTATAATTCATAAAGATTAGAGAACTTTTAAATTTGTGGAAAAGGTATGCCCCTAGTTTTCTGGGGAGGAAAATCAACAGAAACTTGCAAACTTTTAAGATAATGGAAAAATTCGGAATAATGGTAGAGGTGAGTGTCTGTATTTGCAGTACTGGTTTTGTACGTCACGAAATATGACCATTCCAGCTTCCATTTACAGGCTAGGATGCTTCTATCACAACATGTCTTTTAAATCCGCTGACACTAATTTGGGATTGTAAATTATCAGTTTACTTCCAATAAGTTAACGTAATTAAAAATTAACGGATCCATCTTCCTAGATAAAATTTGTCAACTACGTCTGTGGTGAAAGCTGTGAATGAGCGCAGTGGGAGAAGCAACAAACATCCTTAGGAAGAAGCAGAAAACGGGACGTGTTACGAGAGCACGGGGCGCACCTTACCTGCGATGTGGGGTCTCGTCGGGTACTGCTCAAGGAGCACTTTTGGACTTTCAAAGGTATCGACCTGCTGCAGGCAGCTTTCCAGTTCTTTGAGCTTTAATTTCTTCATGTTTCCAGTGGGACTCGATCCTCATGTGTCCCTTCCCACTCTCCCTTGACTCTAGCTAAGAAAAACACAAAGCATCAGTGTATTGCGCGGTTCTAACCTTAAAGCCCCCCGCGGCAGCTGACAGCCGGGCCCCTGCGGGCGGGCAGCGCCAGGCGCCCCCATTCCCGCCGCGCGCCGCCCACCTCAGCGCGGGGCTCCGCTCCCAGCGATGGGCGCCCAGCGCCGAGCCCCGGCCCCGCTCCTGCCGGTCCGGCCGCCCTCCCGGCTCTCTCGCGGCCTACAGGTACGGCCCTACCCCCGCTCCTGCTCTCTCGTTCCCGGGGCCGCCCCGAGGAAGGCCGGACCCGGCGGAGCGGGCCGCGAACCTGCGAGCCGCCGGGGAAGGCAGAGGAAGGGGAGGGGCGGATGGCGAGGGAGGGGAGGGGAGAGGCGGCCCGGCGGTATCGCGAGAGGGAGGCGCCGCCGCCGGGAGGGAGGGGAGGAGAGGAAAGGAGAGAAGAGGAAAGGAGAGGAGGGCGGCGAGGGGAGCCCCAGAGCCGGGAGCCCGGCGCGGCCGTAGCGGCCCCTCGGCTCCGCATCATGGCGGGGACCGGCGCCAGCGGCCGGGAGAAGCGAGCGACGGCGACGCGGCTGAAGGCGGCGCTGGGCGGCGAGAACGGCGCGGCGGCGGCCGGCGAGTTGCGGGCGCTGCTGGAGCGGGTGCTGGCCCCGGCGGCGGGCTCGGGCGGCGGCGAGGCGGCGGGCGAGGCGCTGGAGTGGTGCCGCTGCCTGCTGTCGGGCGGGGAGCCCTGGGACGGCTTCGTGCAAGCCGTGCGGGCCTACGACCCGGCCACGCTGTGCGGCCTGGTGTGGACGGCCAACTTCGTGGCCTACCGCTGCCGGACCTGCGGGATCTCGCCCTGCATGAGCCTGTGCGCGGAGTGCTTCCACCAGGGCGAGCACGCCGGGCACGACTACAACATGTTCCGGAGCCAGGCGGGGGGCGCCTGCGACTGCGGCGACGGCAACGTCATGCGGGAGGCCGGGTGAGCGGCGGGCGGGCACCTGCGGGAGCGGCGGGCGGGCGGCCGCCCTCCTGCGGGCCGGGGCGTTGGGCGGGCGCCTGCCGCCGGCCGTGCGAGCGGCGGCCTTCGTCCGGCCCGGCCCCGGCCCTCCCGCTGGTCGGCGGCCTGGCGCTGAGGGCCGGCCCTCGGGGCGCCGCTGGGGCAGGAGTTGCCGCGCCCGGTCTCGGCCTGCTCCGCCGGCCCCGGGCTGGGCGCGGGCAGCGCTGCGCTTCGTGTGGGCGCGCGGCGGATGGCGGGCAGATCGGGTGCGGGAGCCGGTCTCCGTTCTCCCAAGGCGCGGCTGGCGTTGCCTCCCGTTGGCTGCTCCAGCTTTAAAGCGGGCTGTCGGAACCGCTTAGGTGGGTGCGGTACGGCAGGGCTCAGGAAAGGGAGGCGTCCGCAGCGCCCTGTCAACGTGCAGAGCCGCCGTGGGCAGGACGGTGCCCGGCGTTACGAGCAGACTTCGGTATCTCGTTGTATCTGCCTTTGTTCCATTGTACTCAGCGGTAAGAGGACGGATCGGCCGACCGGCTGTTGGGTGGTACCTGGTTCGTACACCTGGGATCTCACACCCGGCTGTCTTTCTGGAGCTCACCGTGCTCCTGTTTGTTACTGGAGGGCCACGGGTTTGCCAAAAGGCAGCTCGGAGTACCTGAGTGGGGCTTCTGAGCAGCGCTGTGGAGCCGTCTGGGTTCCCTTAGCCTTGCTGGCACGGTGTGCTTCCAGAAGATCCATCTCCTCCCGGTAAATCCTCCCTTGTGGTGGTAGCAGAAAAAGCTAAGGAAGTGCAGAAATAATAAAATGCTTTCCTTAGTTTCTGTGTTTTTAACACCTCATTTTTTTAATGCGTGCAGTTCTGCTTAAAGATTCCATTTCTGATTCTGTTTCTTGGTGCCTGTGGTAACGGGTCTCCCGCTCTAGGCCTTGAAGTGCTTTGTTTCTTTTTTTCTTATCATGTTTTTTTGCCCCCACCTCCCCATTCCTGTTAACTCTCTGCCTTCACCATTTCTTCATCCTTCCTTTCTGGTGGAGCCTCTTCCACTTGAGGACTCCCTCCAATGGAAGAGATTTCTTTTTGGTCTTTTTGTTTTGAGAGGTCTTCATTTATTTCTCTGTCAGTTTTTGTTCAACTTCTGCTTCTTCTCTTTCCTCAGCATCAGTGAAGTAACAATTCCCCTTGATCTTGAGAAGTCAGACAAAAATACATGTCACTTCTTCCAGTGTGGGATAGATTGAGGGCTCCTCATAGTGGTAGGATTTTAAAAGAGCATGGATAAATTGAACTACTTCGGATAAACATTAAGATGACTTCTAGTATTGCTTTCATCTCAGAGTTTATGGCTTCTGTAACTGTCTTTTTCTATTTTAAACAGTTTTTTTTTTTTCTTGAAGAGAGCTGATTTAATAAAGAAGTTAAGTTGATAAATTTGCAGTGTAAACAGATGCAAACCCTCGGGGCATTTCTCTAATATTTATTCTAGTTATTACTTCTAATAGTAGAATTCAGGAGTAAATTGTCTTTGGTATAAGCAGGATCTTGTTGGTGGATTTAGTCCTTCCTGCTACAGGATTTCACAGTGTTGGTCTAGGAACAACGCTCTTGGGTGAGCAGTCTTGTCCAGCCCTGGGCATACAGAGCCAAACCTGCTGGTGTGTGGGAAACCCACCCATCATGTGGGATAGTTAAATTTAAACCAATGTAAAAACATGAACAAGTGCAAACATACTTGTGCACATACACACAACACGCAGCTTTGCCTGTTGACTTGAATTGCTTCAGTGCAGCGTGTTTAGATAAATTGATTGACCTTTGTGTGTACAAATCAGCTGCACAATGGCAAAGGTAATGCTTTACATGTGACTTGGGAGGCTTTCATTGTCGATTCAGGAAATAGGAGTGTGACTAGCCCGGTGTAACCTTGCCCACCCCAACCAGAGCTTCTATTAATAGCAGAGGAATCAAATGTGGAACCTGCTTTCAAACTCAGTAGGCAGATGGTAGATACAAGTCTTTGTAGGTACTGTAAATGAACATATAGTAGCAGTAGTTTGTTCCTCGTGGTTACTGTTACCTGGTCCATGTGTTTAGTGGTTTGTTTTTGTGGGTTTTTTCTTTTTTTTTCCCACCATCTGAAAAATAGTTTTAATGGGGTGTTAGCTAACAGATCTACTGTAAAGGAGATCTCTCCAGCTCACCATCTGGAGTATCTATTCATTTTCTCTAGAGGTGGCTTTGTCAGCAGTGTGAGGATAGATATGTTTGTTAATCTTTTGACACTAATCAGAACTGCAATATTAGAGATAAATATTAGTTTTGATTTTTTTGGTATCTGATGTCTTTTTATGGAGAAGCCAGGATATACTGTGATAGCTGCCTGCTAATTTGGTTTAGGTATCTTCTGCATTTCTCAGTTATTTCA